ATTTAGTGGTCAGAGGCGAGAATTTTCCATAGACCACCGCATTACAAGAAACGAAATTTTAAGGGCACTTGCAATATACAAAAGAACGAAAATATTTTCCTATTTTGTTATAATACTCCTAATATTAGATTATGCATCAAAGCATATTTAATAATATCTTAGGATTATAGAAAGTGATCAAAAAGGGAGCCAAAAATGCAATAATATACAGTGTGTTTCGTTTAAAAAAATCATCCCGATCCACTCACTCTTTTTTGGGCTACCCTGTACAAGTTAAAATATTTTCCTGAAATACATCCTAATACATACTTTAGGTTTCCACTTAAACAAAATTCCTTTGTATGTAAAAAAATGTATTATTTTATACTTTTTTAAATTTCACTATCTTTTCAGAAAAAAATGAGAATATGTTTTTAAAATATGTATATATTTTTTTATTAGCCAAAAATGCTATAATATACAGGATGTTCCATTAAAAAAAATTATCCCCATCCACTCACACTTTTTGAGCCACCCTAGAGATGTTAAAATGTTTTCCTGACATACATCCTAGGACATACTTTAAGTTTGCACTTGAACAAAATTTCTAACTTTTTTATTATAGAAGCTACAGATGCCCGACGCGCTATTGCCGGACCCTGTATTTGTTTTTTTGTCTCTAGGCTCTTTTTGTGTTTTGTAGAGTGAAGTATGTCTATATAAATGATTTGTCTGGGACCTCACATTGACCATAGTATACTAAAGTAAAAAACTTACTGGCCAAACTGGCTCCATCCCTAGGAAGTATGGGTCGCGTTTGTAGTTCAACCTTGGAACTAAATCTACATAAATTTTGTCATCTGTATCGGTGTACTGTGTAAAGCTTGCTGAGAGGCCTGATTCAACTATTTGCCATTTTGAGCCGTTCATCGATTTTGAGAAGATGTCGTTGTAGAATATGCCGGTGTACATTGAGAAGATTCCCATTAGAAGAATAATGTATCAGAAAGAAGGCACAAGTACCATATTGAGATGAAATTAATTTTATATTAGGCAGTAGTTTTATACAGGGTGCGGCAATTGTGCGTCGGGCATCTGCAGTTCCTGGAATAAAAAACTTGGAAATTTTGTTTAAGTGCAAACTTAAAGAATCTACTAGGATGTATTTCGGCAAAATATCTTAACTCTTATAGAGTAGCTCAAAAAAGTATGAGTGGATCGGGATGCTCTTTTTTAAATGGGACACCAAGAAATAATAACACACCAAGAAACAATAATTAGGCCATAGGCCACCGCATTACAAGAGACGAAATTTTAAGGGCATTTTTAATATAAAAAGAACGAAAATATTTTTCTATTTTGTTATAATACTCCTAATATTATATTATGGGGGTCAATCAAACAATAGCTGATGGCAGAAGAATAAGAACGAAACAACTAATATGGTATTACCACGTTCGAAGAATGTTAGAGGAGAGGCTTCCAAAACAAATCCTGAACACCAGCACTGCCGTCGGCAGTTAAAAGGCGGCAAGTGACAAAACTATAGTTTTGAGAAAAATGGCAAAAACTTTGTGATGTTGTCCTTCACTAATAAGAATATATACATTCGATTTTATTGTTCAACACTAATTGGATATACTATATTTAGTTATTTAAAGGTATTTTTAGACAATAGAGCAAGTTTTGTTTAAAAAAATGTTGGTTAATTCTTTCTTGCTTCGTTTTCTGTATTGAATACAGTAAGAAGCTGAAGTTAAAAGGCGGTAAGCGACAAAAAACTGTTCAAATGCCGCCTTTTAACTGCAAAACCTTTGACGTGCCGCTATTTAGAATCAAGTAAAATATGTTAAGGTTTTAACTTAAAAAAGATAAGTTTTAAGTAACATCTATTTATTAAAAACACAGTTTATTTTTTAAATTAATAGTCATCTTGCAAATTTTAAGTAGTTTTATGATAACAGTTATATAGTAAAAGGATTAATTTTAGGTATAACAGGGTGGTCCATAATGGATTGTTCTGTATATATTCTCATGCATTTTTTGTTTGCCTGGGGTCATTTTATAAACTAGAGAGTTGTTTTTGTTGTTTTACTTAGAGATATAACAAAAATGGTTAACTGAGAAGTGCCACCTCAAAAATCTTTGCATCCGGCGCTAGTTTGGTGTCTGCTTTTTTTTTGTTTTAAGTAAGTGGAAAAGCCGATGCCCCCTCTTCTAAAACCCAAAAACAAATTTACACTTCTGATCGATATACTATATTACAGTTGAGGGTTGGAACCTTTGGTGTTACACAGCAAAATAAAAACACTAAATCACCACAATACACCAAAACACTTTTACTTTTACACTGGACGCGCGTTTCGCTAACCATGTTAGCATCATCAGCAGATGATTATAAACTAACTGAGTTTATAATCATCTGCTGATGATGCTAACATGGTTAGCGAAACGCGCGTCCAGTGTAAAAGTAAAAGTGTTTTGGTGTATTGTGGTGATTTAGTGTTTTTATTTTGTGATATACTATAGTATCCAAATTAAAAAAATAATAGCAAAGTTTTAATTTTTATAATATATATATTTTTCTGGCTTTAAATTACGCTTAAAATAAAAAAAAATTGAATGGATGAGTGAAAAATCTTTTCTTCAATAAATACAATAAATAATTTATTTATTGCCAATTAATTTGAAATATGAATATGAAACAATTAAACATTAAGATAACTCATAAATATATTTGTAAATATACTGATGTACCATTTAAAGGAAAAACTTATTGAGGCACTATAATAGTACTTATTTAATTAATGATACTTAATTTAATTAATAATACTTAATTATTGATAAATTTTACTTATTCTAACTATTCTATTTTTTTTTTTAAATTCAGGGGTGAAATTTATATTTTGTTAACACATGACACAAAATTAGCTACAAATCCATCATATAAATATGTATTGAATAATAAATAATATATAATAATCTAAAATACCTATAAAAATAGTTTAAAAGCTTACCTTTGCACAAAAGCCAATCACTATTATAATAAATTATTATTAATCACTTCATATAAGCCGAAAAATGCGATGCGTGCCTGGATTCGCAATTGACTAATTCATCTCTCGCAAAATATACCGCCTTCTTACTACCAAATTTACGTCCGCCTCAAAGTCCGCGTGGTGATTTTGACCGTTAAAAAAGGGCGCAATAGTGACATACCGCTTTTTTTCTACAAGTTTCGTAACGTATTTCACGATCTTATTTAACGAATAGGGTGGTATTAAACAATGCCGCCTTATAACTTCAAGTTTTATGACGTATTTGATATCCATGTTTTAGGAATAGAGCAATTACTGTCTAATGCCGCCTTTTTACTAAATAATATGCATCATTACGTCATCATTTTTTAAATATAAATGGCATATTTGCAAGAATGCCGCCTTTTAACTTAAATATTTACACTTGCCGCCTTTTTACTTCCAAAATGGTGACGTTATGTCACTTGCCGCTTTTTTCAAATTTTTCAAAAATCTTAGAAAAAAAAATATTTTTCAAAAACATTTTTGAATATTTAGGTAGAGTAGGGTCACATTAAGCGGCCCATACATTATCAAACAAATTGCGCAACGAAGCAATGCGCAACGAAGCAATGCGCAACGTTGCGTTGCACAACTGATTCAGCGGTCCATACACTATCAAACAAGTTGCGCAACAAAGCGATGCGCAACGTTCCGTTGCACAACTGCCTCACCCATGCACATAGTAAAATTTTGATCAAACTGTTTATTAAAAGTTGTGCATTGTTTGAGAAACAATCATGTCCTCAATTGCCATTGCGTCAATTATTATCGTATATACCCTAGATGATGTCGATGATACCAAAAAACGAAAAAGAAAACAAAGAATTTGGATGAAAGAACTAAAATATTGCACAACGAAGTGCAACACACACATACACTACACAACGCGTTGCGCAAACAGTCCTGTTGCACAAAAGAATTCAAACATTCGTGAAACTCATCAAACAATTGCGCAACGCATCAAACACTACCATACATTGGCAACTCGTTGCGCAACGGCCTGCGTTGCGCAATTTGTTTGATAATGTATGGGCCGCTTTAGTCTAAAAATGCAAAAATCTCAAAATTGAAAAAAATTCACTTGCCGCCTTTTAACTGCCGACGGCAGAGCAGGTCGACGAAAAAGGGGTAGACCACGCAAGAGCTGGACAGAAGAAATAGAAAAGGAGCTAAAAGAATGAGAGCACGAAGACGACCTCTGGCTAGATAGGGAGCAATTACGACTGGACTGAGATTCTTTAATTAGTATGATGAGTTATAACTCGCTATAACTCAATAAAGGGGGACACAATAGATCTACCGGTTGCGTCTCAAAAGTGGCTCATCCCTATAACTTTTTTATTTTTTCAGATAAAAAAACGAGATTTGGTATGTTAGTATATGACATAAATTAAGATTGATTGACGTATTCAATTATTTTCGGTCACTTCCAGTTTCAGCGGAAATGACTATAACTTTTGATTTTTAAATGACACCCTGGGTATTTTTTTACTTTATTACATAGAAATTAGATAGTAATTTAGTAAATGACTTTACTCTCTCGTTGACTCAACCTGTACAATAAAAAAACTGTGGGAAATTGTATAATTAAATTTCGACATAAACAATTTTATTATGAGATATGTTAGGAGTTTGCTGTAAGTTTGTCTACATGTATTCTGTTAAACCTGGAGCATTCACTGAATTGGTGAAATATAAGTTTAATGAATCAGACTGGAACTGCTGAAATTCGGTAACATTTTCTAAATGTTCTGGTTTCTAAACTGTCTGCCTTCTCTCAATACGTATAATGAACACCTACTTTCCTTCCCCATCCCCAGTAGAGAAAAGGCAAAACATTGGAAACGTGGGTGTCCGAACGCGACCAATTCCAGCCGCGATAACTCGACTTGTGCGAATCAACCAGTGGGGAAAGCGGTATAAAATGGGGCCGAGCGGTGCGCCGCATCCACTTCGCGTGGTCCCCCGAAAGCTAGCCGGTGTCGCGCCCCACTCAAATCCTTTTCCCCAAACAACAAAAGTTTTCCACATTCGCGGACCGCGTACCGTCGCTTGCCGCGCGCTTTTCTTCGCTCTTTTGCGCTCCAGAGTCGCCGAACCTGCCAGAGTTCCGCAACAGTCATCCCAGCAACAAGCAGAAACCGCATCTAAGGTAAGTGGTAGCTTAGTGAGTATGAAAAAATGTTTTAAAACTTTGACGACTTTTCATAATAAATTATTTAATTTTCTGAAAAAAAGTTTGGAAAGAGTTTGATTAATATATTAAAATGTGTTTCTTTCGTCAAAGTAAAAAATTTAGCTATAAAATATTTTATAATTATTTTGTCTTAGTCGATTATTATGGAAAAAATTACAGTATTGAATATTTTTTTTGTACCATTTTTTATTTTTATTTAGCCTGAACCCGAGTTTTACATGCTATTTTTATCATCAAAAACTCATGTTATAAAAATAATAAATATAAAAAATGGTACAAAAATAACTTTAAAATTTCATTATAAATTATTTAATTCTGAAAAAAAATTTGGCAAGAGTTTGATTAATATATTAAAATATATTTAAAGGAAAATTAAATTTAATAATGTGTTTTTTTCGTTAAAGTGAAAAATTTGGCTATAAAATATTTTATAATTGTTTTGCATAAGTCGATTATTATGGAAAAAATGACAGTATTGAATATTTTAAATTTTTTTTGTAACATTTTTTATTTTTATTTAGCCCGAACCCGAGTTTTAGATGCTATTTTTATCATCAAAAATTCATGTTATAAAAATAATAAATATAAAAAATGGTACAAAAATAACTTTAAAATTTCATTATAAATTATTTAATTCTGAAAAAAATTTTGGCAAGAGTTTGATTAATATATTAAAATATATTTAAAGGAAAATTAAATTTAATAATGTGTTTTTTTCGTTAAAGTGAAAAATTTGGCTATAAAAAATATTTTATAATTGTTTTGCATAAGTCGATTATTATGGAAAAATGACAGTATTGAATATTTTAAATTTTTTTTGTACCATTTTTTATTTTTATTTAGCCCGAACCCGAGTTTTAGATGCTATTTTTATCATCAAAAACTCATGTTATAAAAATAATAAATATAAAAAATGGCACAAATATAACTTTAAAATTTCATTATAAATTATTTAATTCTGAAAAAACGTTTGGAAAGAGTTTGATTAATACATTAAAATATATTTAAAGGGAAATTAAATTTAATAATGTGTTTTTTTGTAAAGTGAAGAATTTAACTATAAAATATTTTATAATTATTTTGTATAAATCGATTATTATTGAAAAAATGACAGTATTGAATATTTTAATTTTTTTTTGTACCATTTTTTATATTTTTTATTTTTATTTAGCCTGAAACTGAGTTTTAGATGATATTTTTAGCATTAAAACACATGTTATAAAAATAAAAAAATGGTACAAAAATAACTTTAAAATTTTATTATAAATTATTTAATTCTGAAAAAAAGTTTGGAAAGAGTCTGATTAATATATTAAAGTATATTTAACTAATTGCAAAAAAGTGCTTAAAGTGCAAAATTTAACCATAAAATATTTTATAATTATTTTGTGTTAGTCGATTATTATGGAAAAAATGACAGTATTGAATATTTTTAATTTTTTTGATACCATTTTTTATTTTCATTTAGCCTGAACCCGAGTTTTAGATGCAATTTTTATCATCAAAAACTCATGTTATAAAAATAATAAATATAAAAAATGGCACAAATATAACTTTAAAATTTCATTATAAATTATTTAATTCTGAAAAAACGTTTGGAAAGAGTTTGATAATACATTAAAATATATTCAAAGGGAAATTAAATTTAATAATGTGTTTTTTTGTAAAGTGAAGAATTTAACTATAAAATATTTTATAATTATTTTGTGTTAGTCGATTATTATGGAAAAAATGACTGTATTGAATATTTTAATTTTTTTGTACCATTTTTTATTTTTATTTAGCTCGAACCCGAGTTTTAGATGCAATTTTTATCATCAAAAACTCATGTTATAAAAATAATAAATATAAAAAATGGCACAAATATAACTTTAAAATTTCATTATAAATTATTTAATTCTGAAAAAACGTTTGGAAAGAGTTTGATTAATACATTAAAATATATTTAAAGGGAAATTAAATTTAATAATGTGTTTTTTTGTAAAGTGAAAAATTTAACTATAAAATATTTTATAATTATTTTGTATAAATCGATTATTATTGAAAAAATGACAGTATTGAATATTTTAATTTTTTTTGTACCATTTTTATATTTTTTATTTTTATTTAGCCTGAAACTGAGTATTTAGATGATAATTTTTAGCATTAAAACACATGTTATAAAAAATAAAAAAAATGGTACAAAAATAACTTTAAAATTTTATTATAAATTATTTAATTCTGAAAAAGTTTGGAAAGAGTCTGATTAATATATTAAAAGTATATTTAACTAATTGTAAAAGTGCTTAAAGTGCAAAATTTAACCATAAAATATTTTATAATTATTTTGTGTTAGTCGATTATTATGGAAAAAATGACAGTATTGAATATTTTTAATTTTTTTGATACCATTTTTTATTTTCATTTAGCCTGAACCCGAGTTTTAGATGCTATTTTTATCATCAAAAACTCATGTTATAAAAATAATAAATTTAAAAAACGGTACGAAAATAACTTTAAAATTTCATTATAAATTATTTAATTCTGAAAAAAAAATATACATAGGTATATAAATATATTATATTAAAATATATTTAAAGGAAAAATTAAATTTAATATTGTGCTTTTTTCGTAAAGTGAAAATTTTAACTATAAAATATTTCATAATTATTTTGCCTTTAGTCGATTATTGTGCAAAAAAATGATAGTATTGAATATTTTTAATTTTTTTGTACCATTTTTTATTTTTATTTAGCCTGAACCCGAGTTTTAGATGCTATTTTTATCATCAGAAACTCATGTTATAAAAATAATAAATATAACAAATAAATTTAAAATTTCATTATAAATTATTTAATTCTGAAAAAATGTTTGGAAAGAGTTTGATTAATATATTACTCGTAAAATATATTTAAAGGGAAATTAAATTTAATAATGTGTTTTTTTCGTAGAGTGAAAAATTTAACTATAAAATATTTTATAATTATTTTGTATAAGTCGATCATTATTGAAAAAAAAATACACTATTGAAGATTTTTAATTTTTTTCGTACCATTTTTATATTATTTATTTTTATTTGGCATGAACCTGAGTATTTAGATGATAATTTTTAGCATTAAAAACTCACATTATAAAATTTTCGTCATACTATATTGTTATATTATTATAACATAAGCAAAATCAGAATGGAAAAGATGCATATAACGTCCGCCGGACGTTATCATAACGGCCGGCGGCCGTTAAGTTTCTAAGGTAATCGTAACGTCTGTCACCTGCAACAATGACTATTTATTGTCAGTTGGACTTTTCAAAAATTGGGAAAATAGACCATAGCGAGATGTCGCGAGAAATTCCGTTGGAAATACAGGAGGAAGCGGCTGCGGCTACTCAAAATTATACTTCCGACTATAACCAGAGAGAGATATCAGCAGGAATATGACAATTTTTTGAAGTGGCGGCAGGATAGAAGTATAAACAGCGTAAATGAAGCGGTATTGCTGGCTTATGCTAAAAGAATGTCTGAAATGTATTCTCCTACATCACTGTGGACAAAGATTCCATGCTGAAGCTTGCGTGAGAGTATATGAAAACATCGACATATCAAGGTAAAAAGCCATTATATTCTTCGATATTTAATCATACTCATCTAAATTATATTTGTTCATAGATTTGGTAAACTGTTCATGTTTCTGAGGCGCAAAAACGAAGGTTATTCACCAAAAAAAAGCCAAAGTTCTGTCGGAGAATGACATAAATAATTTTCTACTGGATGCCGATGATTACACCTGGTTACTCGAAAAAATTGTATTGGTGCTTGGTATTCTTGGAGCTTGTAGGCGCAGCGAGCTTTGGTCACTCACAGTTGATGATTTCGAAGATTCGGAGAAAAATATTCTTGTCTCATTAAGAAATACTAAAATAAGAAAGATAGGAAATTTCTTATTCCAAAACGGGCCTTCCGTTTGATGCCTATGGTTTATACAAAATACATCAACCTGCGTCCTCGTAACTTTGACAATCCAAAATTTTTCATTGGTTACAAGAAAGGCAAGTGTGTTAAGCAAATCGTCGGTATACATACCATCGGGAGCGTACCGCAGAAAATTGCAAAATTTTTGAACTTGGAGAATCCAGAACGTTATACAGGGCATTCATTTCGTAGATCATCAGCAACCATGCTCTCGCCGAAAATGGTGGTGATTTTTACTATCGCTAAAGGAGCTAGGAGGATGGGAGTCTTCAACAGTGGCAGAAACTTACATAGAAAAATCAGTTTCCAAAAGAATGAAAATAACAAATCAACTTTTTCATGATAGCTCCAAAAATAATGTGTCTTTTAGTGGATACAAATATTTGCCATTCTTCAGTAGCATCATCTTTCTTTCTATAAAATCTGTAAATCCCTGGGAAGGATTAAAGATTTCTAAGAACAACAAGTGCATTATTTTGCCATGTTCATTATCATGAAAAAATGAATTTTTAGTATAAGACATTATGTATTTTTTTATCCTTACTTGTGTTATTGTTCAATAAAATTTGTTATTAAATAGTAGTGTTTATTGCTCTAAAAAATCTGCAGTATGACGAAAAATCTAGAACGCAACACGGCCGATAACAAATAACGGCCTTGGCTGCTTATGATCCTCGGCTATCGCCTCGGATCACAAACTTCAGCCCGGCCGTTATTTGTTGTTTATCGGCCTTATTACGTTAATAACTATAATAAATATAAAAAATGGTACAAAAATAACTTTAAAATTCCATTACAAATTATTTAATTCTGGAAAAATGTTAGAAAAATGTATAGAAAATTTAAATTTAATAATGTACTTTTGCGTAAAATGAAAAATTTAACTATAAAATATTTTATAATTAATTTGCCTAAGTCGATTATTATTGAAAAAAAAAATGACAGTATTGAATACTTTTAATTTTTTTTGTAACATTTTTTATATTTTTTATTTTTATTTAGCCTG